AGATGGATCCTGACCCCCATATCCCTTTGAAAGTGGCGTAGTGGTAAATATTGTAAAAATTTGAATTATCACAACTTTTCGGGCAGAAGTTGTAAGGGCCGGGGTGGTTCAGCATTTTGGAGGAAAATATTATATTTTTTGAATAGGCTAGTTTCCCCAAAATGAATGTATATACATGCCATTAGATGGATTCTAACGCCTATATCCCTTTGACAGGGGGGTAGGGGCAAATATTGTAAAAATTTGAATTATCACAACTTTTCGGGCCGAAGTTGTAAGGGCCGGGGTGGTTCAGCATTTTGGAGGAAAATATTATTTTTTTTTATTAGGCTAGTTTCCCCATAATGAATGTATATACATGCGATTAGATGGATCCTGACCCCAATCACTAGGAACATGACAGACAATGAAAGCGGACAAAATATACAGTTCCTCAGGTAGACAAAGGAACATCCCTTCACTGCTATTATGTAAAAATGTGTAGAACAGGTGAATATGCATGTGACACCTGTTCTACACATTTTTACATAATAGCAGTGAAGGGATGTCCCTTTGTTTACCTGAGGAACTGTATATTTTGTCCGCTTTCATTGTCTGTCATGTTCATAGTGTATATCCCTTTGAATGGGGCGTAGTGGTAAATATTGTAAAAATTTGAATTATCACAACTTTTCGGGCCGAAGTTGTAAGGGCCGGGGTGGTTCAGCATTTTGGAGGAAAATATTAATTTTTTTTATTAGGCTAGTTTCCCCATAATGAATGTATATACATGCGATTAGATGGATCCTGACCCCTATCACTAGGAACATGACAGACAATGAAAGCGGACAAAATATACAGTTCCTCAGGTAGACAAAGGAACATCCCTTCACTGCTATTATGTAAAAATGTGTAGAACAGGTGAATATGCATGTGACACCTGTTCTACACATTTTTACATAATAGCAGTGAAGGGATGTCCCTTTGTTTACCTGAGGAACTGTATATTTTGTCCGCTTTCATTGTCTGTCATGTTCATAGTGTATATCCCTTTGAATGGGGCGTAGTGGTAAATATTGTAAAAATTTGAATTATCACAACTTTTCGGGCCGAAGTTGTAAGGGCCGGGGTGGTTCAGCATTTTGGAGGAAAATATTAATTTTTTTTATTAGGCTAGTTTCCCTACAATGAATGTACATACATGCGATAAGATGGATCCTGACCCCCACATCCCTTTGAAAGGGGCGTAGTGGCAAATATTGAAAAATTTGAGTTATCACACCTTTCGGGCCGAAATGGTAAGGGCCGGGGTGGTTCTGCATTTTGGAGGAAAATATTATTTTTTTTGAATAGGCTAGTTTCCCCACAGTGAATGTACATACATGCGATTAGATGGATCCTGACCCCCATATCCCTTTGAAAGTGGCGTAGTGGTAAATATTGTAAAAATTTGAATTATCACAACTTTTCGGGCAGAAGTTGTAAGGGCCGGGGTGGTTCAGCATTTTGGAGGAAAATATTATATTTTTTGAATAGGCTAGTTTCTCCAAAATGAATGTATATACATGCCATTAGATGGATCCTGACCCCCACATTCCTTTGAAAGGGGTGTATTTGCAAATATTGAATAATTTGAGTCATCACAACTTTCGGGCCAAAATGGTAAGGGCCGGGGGGGTTCAGCATTTTGGAGGAATTTTTTTTTTTTTTTAATTTGCTAGTTTCCCCATAATGAATGTATATACATGCGATTATATCGATCCTGACCCCTATATCCCTTTGAATGGGGCGTAGTGGTAAATATTGTAAAAATTTGATTGATCACACCTTTCGGGCCGAAATGGTAAGGGCCGGGATGGTTCTGCATTTTGGAGGAAAATATTATATTTTTTTAATAGGCTAGTTTCCCCACAGTGAATGTACATACATGCGATTAGATGGATCCTGACCCCCATATCCCTTTGAAAGGGGCGTAGTGGCAAATATTGAAAAATTTGAATTATCACACCTTTCGGGCCGAAATGGTAAGGGCCGGGGTGGTTCTGCATTTTGGAGGAAAATATTATATTTTTTTAATATGCTAGTTTCCCCACAGTGAATGTACATACATGCGATAAGATGGATCCTGACCCCCACATCCCTTTGAAAGGGGCGTAGTGGCAAATATTGAAAAATTTGAATTATCACACCTTTCGGGCCGAAATGGTAAGGGCCGGGGTGGTTCTGCATTTTGGAGGAAAGTATTATTTTTTTTGAATAGGCTAGTTTCCCCACAGTAAATGTACATACATGCGATTAGATGGAACCTGACCCCCATATCCCTTTAAAAGGGGTGTAGTGGCAAATATTGAAAAATTTGAATTATCACAACTTTTCGGGCCGAAATTGTAAGGGCCGGGGTGGTTCAGCATTTTGGAGGAAAATATTAATTTTTTTTTATTAGGCTAGTTTCCCCACAATGAATGTACATACATGCCATTAGATGGATCCTGACCCCCACATCCCTTTGAAAGGGGCGTAGTGGCAAATATTGAAAAATTTGAATTATCACAACATTCGGGCCGAAATTGTAAGGGCCGGGGTGGTTCAGCATTTTGGAGGAAAATATTAATTTTTTGAATAGGCTAGTTTCCCCACAATGAATGTACATGCCATTAGATGGATCCTGACCCCCACATCCCTTTGAAAGGGGCGTAGGGGCAAATATTGTAAAAATTTGAATTATCACAACTTTCGGGCCGAAATTGTAAGGGCCGGGGTGGTTCAGCATTTTCGAGGAAAATATTATTTTTTTTAAATTGGCTAGTTTCCCCATAATGAATGTACATACATGCGATAAGATCGATCCTGACCCCTACATTCCTTTGAAAGGGGCGTAGTGGCAAATATTGTAAAAATTTGAATTATCACACTTTTCGGGCCGAAGTTGTAAGGTCCGGGGTGGTTCAGCATTTTGGAGGAAAATATTATATTTTTTGAATAGGCTAGTTTCCCCAAAATGAATGTATATACATGCCATTAGATGGATCCTGACCCCCACATTCCTTTGAAAGGGGTGTATTTGCAAATATTGAAAAATTTGAGTCATCACAACTTTCGGGCCAAAATGGTAAGGGCTGGGGTGGTTCAGCATTTTGGAGGAAATTTTTTTTTTTTTAAATTTGCTAGTTTCCCCATAATGAATGTATATACATGCGATAAGATGGATCCTGACCCCCACATCCCTTTGAAAGGGGCGTAGTGGCAAATATTGAAAAATTTGAGTTATCACACCTTTTGGGCCGAAATGGTAAGGGCCGGGGTGGTTCTGCATTTTGGAGGAACATGCGATTAGATGGATCCTGACCCCCATATCCCTTTGAAAGTGGCGTAGGGGCAAATATTGAAAAATTTGAGTTATCACAACTTTCGGGCCGAAATGGTAAGGGCCGGGGTCGTTCAGCATTTTGGAGGAAAATATTATATTTTTTTAATAGGCTAGTTTCCCCACAATGAATGTATATACATGCCATTAGATGGATTTTGACCCCCACAACCCTTTGAAAGGGGCGTAGTGGCAAATATTGAAAAATTTGAATTATCACAACTTTCGGGCCGAAATTGTAAGGGCCGGGGTGGTTCTGCATTTTTGGAGGAAAATATAATTTTTTTTGAATAGGCTAGTTTCCCCACAGTGAATGTACATACGTGCGATTAGATGGATCCTGACCCCCATATCCCTTTGAAAGTGGCTTAGGGGCAAATATTGTAAAAATTTGAATTATCACAACTTTTCGGGCCGAAGTTGTAAGGGCCGGGGTGGTTCTGCATTTTTGGAGGAAAATATAATTTTTTTTGAATAGGCTAGTTTCCCCACAATGAATGTACATACATGCAATTAGATGGATTCTAACGCCTATATCCCTTTGACAGGGGGGTAGGGGCAAATATTGTTTAAATTTGAATTATCACAACTTTTCGGGCCGAAGTTGTAAGGGCCGGGGTGGTTCAGCATTTTGGAGGAAAATATTAATTTTTTTTATTAGGCTAGTTTCCCCACAATGAATGTACATACATGCCATTAGTTGTATCCTGACCCCCACAACCCTTTGAAAGGGGTGTAGTGGCAAATATTGAAACATTTGAGTTATCACAAATTTCGGGCCGAAATGGTAAGGGCCGGGGTGGTTCAGTATTTTGGAGGAAAATTTTTTTTTTTTTAAATTTTGCTAGTTTCCCCATAATGAATGTATATACATGCGATTAGATGGATCCTGACCCCCATATCCCTTTGAAAAGGGCGTAGTGGCAAATACTGTAAATATTAGAATTATCACAACTTTCTGGCCGAAATAGTAAGGGCGGGGGTGGTTCAGATTTTTGGAGGAAAATATTATAATTTTTGAATAGGCTAGTTTCCTCACAATGAATGTACTTACATGTATTGCTTGTTGTGTTGATGAAAATAGGCTTGATATAAATATATTATTAAAGGCCCACTGTACTACTTGTAGCTACTTGTTCCCTCTATGACAACGCCTAATCAGTGACCATTGGTCCCCCATAATCCTCTTTTTTCTTATGTTAATTGAGAGCTGAGTTGTTGAGATAGCCACCTGTCAGTGACCTTCCTGTGTGGTCCTAGCCAAACTAGTACAGACGGCTTTTAAAGCTACTGACATTCTCTTCAGTGTCCATGTGTATCATTGCATCATAATTCGCTGGCACCAGAATTGGTGGAATTGCCATTTAATGTGTGCACAGGTCTCTGGAGCAGCAAAAACCTGTTGTCCCACCAGTAATTACTCCAGCTTGCCTTATCTCAAGGGTGAGGGAAATTTTATTATGATAAAAATTCCCTTTGGTGCTACGTCCAGGACACAGTGCTGTATTATATTTTGTACACTAGTGATTACAATTTGGGAAGATTGCAAATCTGTCAAGCCTTCACTTGGCTATCATTTTTTGACCATGTTTTATACTAAAAGTAGCTTTTTCACGACTACTACAACTGTATCTCATTCTTATCTTGCCTTGTAGCTCATGAATATTGGAAACCAATCGTGACCACTTTTGGGGTGCTCCTAGCCATCTATCTGCTCTCTGGGTTTATTATTGCCGGAAATATTGTGAGGTAAGTCCATAATTACTTTGGTCTAAACCCAAAGATTTAAAGATGAAGTTGAGTTCTGGTCATGCGATTGCATTGTGAAAGAAACAGTGTGGAACCGACCAGAAAAGGTTGATCATCTAGCATATAATAATTTGTGTGTATTGCAAGGTTCTGGAATCATCAAAATGATAAGAAATTTGGCCAAGTCTTGGTAAAGTTACAAACACTTGCACAGAAAGATGTATATGGGACTACACGAACACGTGACGTAAAAAGCCGGCCCCCCCCCCCCCCCCCCGATTTTTACGACGTTACATGCATATTTAGAATATGAAGGCATTTGAAGAGCCATGATTTTCAGGGAACATGTCTTAACTGATGTTCTTCCACACTTGCATAATAAGAATGAGTAATGCTCACAAATTTTTTTTCACCTCTTCCCAGAACTCAACCTTCTCTTTAAAGGGGAACTGCACTACTTGTGCCCTCTATATAGCAAACATTGCCTTAGCGGTACCCATTGGTCCCCCATACTCCCCTTTTCCTTATGTTATTTGAGATAATATTATGTATACTTGAGAGCTGATTTGATAAGATAACCACCTGTCAGTGACCACTCAGGGAGGTCTAATCCATTCTGGCCAAACAAGTGCAGACAGGATTTTCAGGCGTCTTAGTAAAACTTGAATTTAAGCATTGAAGATGCCTCGCCATTATGGACTAAACATTTAATCTTATTTGAAGTAATGTATAAATACATGCTTGTACAATTATATACATGATTTCCATGTTTCTTTTACATTATTTTTTCCATTTTTGTAACAATTATTGAGCCTATGTATGGTAAAACAAAACATTCATGTACATGTGACATGTGAATAAGTTTCCTAATAATCACAAAATACAAAATTTCAATTTTCTTTTCAGACAAAGGAAGGCAGATATCATGATGACAGGAACGGCTTCAGAAAGAGGTAAAAATAATGCAACAAAATACCCTTTTGTCATAATAATAATAATTATAATAATAGTAATAACAATAATAATAATAATAATCTGGATTTATATACTTCTTAATATGAAACACCATATACATATATATGTAAGCACTATACAGATATTATAACTCCTGTAATTGGATTAATGCATGCACAGTGTGCATCATCTCCACTCCCTGGGGAGTATTCTTACCATATATATCAATTACTTACACAAAGGTTTTTGTCATCTTACCAGGTCCCCATTTCTCTCCTGTGAATGGAGTGGCAAATGTAGATTAATGCCTTGCCAAGGGACATACAATTGTGTCTGGGATTGAACCCACGACCTTTGCATTTCAAGTTGAGTGATCAAACCACTTGGCTATGACACCACTACTATTTCATTCAATCATTATTTATTCATTATTCATTTCTTCATTATTCATTCACTATATTTAATTCATTATTTCTGTTATTATTCTTCCTCTGTATCACTTTAATTTGTAGTCAACTTCATATATTTATGATCATAATTACCATTTCTTGGAAAAAATTGTGCTGAGAAAAATTTCATAGTTTTGCCCTCAAGTTTTCATGATCAACATGTTCATGTGTACATGTGAATAGATTTTGCATCCCGCCTTAGTTCAAAATTGATGTCATTCAAAGTTACTGCATATATAGCAAAATTGAGTTATATTAAATTTTTCAGCCTTGATATTTATGGAATGCTTTCAACTGACCTTGTTTTTATTTACAGCAATCTATATTTTGCATTTTACATGAACACATTTCTCACTTTACAAATTATGTACTTCATAGTTTCTTCAGTCAGTACGTGTCATGGAAATTGTTGTATTGGTTGTAATTGCATCATGTGCACTTTAAGAACTGTTTTCTTCATACCAGGTAGTCTAATGTATTTTACCTGTTGAATATTTCCTTTAGTAGTATTGAAAAACTCATATTCAACCCGTAGAAAACCGGGTTAATTCTTTAAAAAAAAATAGTTTAATGAATTCACAAAATTACACCCATGTATATTACAATGTACATTACACATAGTTCATGTTTGTACCTGTCTGCCATCTTGTGGGTCATTACATGTAGATTTTTAGGAAGAAATTATCCTGTACGTCTAGAAATAATTAATTGAAGAAAAATCATGAAATATATACAATTAATTGAACACTTTGAATTCCTTTTTTTATTAGTATGTTTTTCATATATCTCCAGGTTGAGAAGGTAATGAGAATCAGTTGAATGAAATTGAAAGCAAATAATTCTCTTTATCTATCATCAAAACATTTGTAATGTAGTTACTATTTTTTTTATGTACATCTTATTTTATGTACATCTTGTCAAATGTATGATTCAGGGCCTTTTTCACACGACTTGTCATCAGTGACAAATGACAGTTTTTGTTATAAGCTACTGAAATCCTTGCTTCTGATTGGTTATTAGCAGATTTGTCACTGCTTTTTGTCATTTGTCATTGAAATAACGCTTTGTGAAACGGGTCCCAGTTGCATGTTTAGTAAATGTAGACATTTTTCACTTTACATGTATTATGATCATGTGAAGACTATATTCTCATTGGTTTTGCTCCACCCATTTCAATGATTGACATACACTATACAATGTATTATGATCATGTGTAGACTATATTCTCATTGGTTATGCTCCACCCATTTCATTGATTGACATACACTATACAATGTATTATGATCATGTGAAGACTATATTCTCATTGGTTATGCTCCACCCATTTCAATGATTGACATACACTATACATGTATTATGATCATGTGTAGACTATATTCTCATTGGTTATGCTCCACCCATTTCAATGATTGACATGCACCATACATGTATTATGATCATGTGTAGACTATATTCTCATTGGTTATGCTCCACCCATTTCAATGATTGACATATCTTTCTCACCTTGTTGCCTGGATACCATCAATCTCTGCATTCCTTTGTGACATGAACCATTACATCAGTTGTTCTTCTTGGTACAGTATACGATCTTATGTTGTTATTCCATTTGCATGTTGTGTTGCCAGCTTTGGATGCATTTTGCTGTGAAGAGAGATAGAATAGTTGCACTAAAGTCGGCATGACGGAATGCTTTAGCCCCTATAGCACCATCTATTGTACATGCTGTGTAGCCAGCTTTGGCTGTGAAGAGAGCAGGCCTGATAAAAACCCGATTTAAATCGGTTTCCCGATTTTTCTTTATTTTTCCTGATTTTTTCCCGATTTTTTTTTTTTCCCCGATAAAAAAAAAAAAAAAAAAAAAAAAAAAAATAGATTTTTTTTTCCTTCCCTATTTTATTCTGATTTTCCCGATTCCATCCTTATTTTCTCTATTCTTCCCTATTTTGCCCTATTTTTTTCCAAATTTTCTTACTCGAATGGGGGGAATGTTGTTAAATGCCATTTTTCCCCTGCGAATCCTCTTCTTTTTTTTTTTACTCAAGGGAGGCGTGGTTGAGGGGAAAACAAAAAACCTATTTTTTTTTAGTGCTCACTATCACCCCTGGAAGAGAGGTAGAGAATTGTTGCACTGAAACCTTTTTTTTAACTCTAACCCCTATAGCACCATCTATTGTACATGCTGTGTAGCCAGCTTTGGGTTGCATTTTGCTGTGAAGAGAGATAGAATAGTTGCGCTTAAGCCTGTATGATAGAATACTTTAACCCCTATAGCACCATCTATTGTACATGCTGTGTAGTCAGCTTTGGCTGTGAAGAGAGGTAGAGAATAGTTGCACTGAAACCTGTATAATGGAATACTCTAAACCCTATAGCACCATGTATTGTACATGTTGTGTAGCCAGCTTTGGGTTGCATTTTACTGTGAAGAGAGATAGAGAATAGTTGTACTAAAGCCTGTATGATGGAATACTTTAACCCCTTTAGCACCATCTTGTATACAAGTATAAACCACCCTAAACTTAGATTGTTTCTTTGTCATAGTAGTAGTTGGAGCACTGTGGCATAGTGGAAACACTAGTAAAGTTGTATTGCTGTGTTATAATGGGAGCACTGTGGTATAATGGGAACACTAGTTTAGTTGTGCTCTGTTATAATGGAAGCACTGTGGTATAATGGGAACACTAGTTTACTTGTAGTGCTGTGTTATAATGGGAGCACTGTGGTATAATGGGAACACTAGTTTAGTTGCAGTGCTGTGTTATAATGGGAGCACTGTGGTAAATGGGAACACTAGTTTAGTTGTAGTGCTGTGTTATAATGGGAGCATTGTGGTATAATGGGAACACTAGTTTAGTTGCAGTGCTGTGTTATAATGGGAGCACTGTGGTAAAATGGGAACACTAGTTTAGTTGTAGTGCTGTGTTATAATGGGAGCACTGTGGTAAATGGGAACACTAGTTTAGTTGTAGTGCTGTGTTATAATGGGAGCACTGTGGTATAATAGGAACACTAGTATAGCTGAAGTGCCATGTATAATATGAGCACTGTGGTATAATTGGAGAACTGTGGTATAATTGGAGAACCGTGGTATAATGGGAGCATTATGGGATAATGGGAGCACTGGTATAATGGGAGCACCGTGGTATACTGGGAGCGCCATGGTATAGTGGGAGCACCACATATATTGGGAGCACTGTGGTGTAATTGGTGCATCGTAGTATGTTGGGAACACTGACAGTGGTATAATGGGAGCACTGGTGTAATTGTAGCACCTTTGTGAAGTGGGAGCACTGTAGTATAATGGGAGCACCATGGTATAATGGGAGCACCATGGTATAATGGGAGCATTGTGGTATAGTGAGAGCACCATGATATAGTGGGAACACTGCATATATTGGGAGCACTGTGGTATATGAGAGTACCATGGTATAGTGGGAGCACCACATATATTGGGAGCACTGGTGTAATTGGTGCAGTGTAGTATGTTGGGAACACTGGTATAGTGGGAGTACTGGTGTAATTGCAGTACCATGGTATAATGGCAGCATTATCATGGTTACAGTGGGAGCACTGTGGTATGGGTGCATGCTGGTACATGTACACAGTTTATTGGTGAAGGTTTCTGACCATCACACAATTCTGATCCATACAATATATACCCAATACTTGCATAACACTAACAAATTGAATTAATCCTAACCTTTTCATGACACTGCCGAGACACAGCTATAAACAGCATGCTATTTAGTCAAAAGAACTGCACATATATTAAACTAGCTAGATTAGAAATACCAAAGAACTTTAATAATAGCCTGCAAGTAACTTACATAACCTACTGTGTAACTAACCTACTGTTTATATTTTCATATCGACAGTAGTCGGCCGTTGTTTGCTGCTAATATTTGGTTTTATGCTGCATTTAGAAATAGAGAGCCTTTTTTTAAAACTATTTTTTAATAATTTTTTAAATATTTCATTTGGTTGGGAGGGAGTGGGAGGGAGCTTGTTTGTAGTTTATCTTTCTAAAATAAAAACACCCCTCCCTATAGTAGTATAGTAGAAGCTTGACTGAAAATGCTTTCCTTGCTAAATTATCTCAATAGCTTTTTTGTAAATAATTCTCATGGCCTCTTTCCCCCTCAATTTAGTTTGAAAATTTCTGACCTAATTTTGTTTTATAAGTTAGTTGCTTTTAACATGAATAGCCAAATGTTCTGTCGGAAAAGAGGATTTTTCTTGCAGTGTATGCACTACATTGTACATTTAGTTGTGAGAAATTTCCCTCTCAGAAATTTGAAATGTGTGATGATAAGTTAGTCTTAAAATGCTTTCTCCTCTAAATTAATTCTGTTACCTTTATTCGGCTGCTAATTTTTACACATTGCACTGGGACATGTTTATGTACATGATTGCAAACCTAATGTACGTGTGTGCGTGCAGTCTGCCTGACATGTTTTGATCTGTTATTATGTTTTCCTCAATCTTATGATTTATGGAACTTGAGTCATTTTAGGAAATGTTTTGCTCTTTCTGAAAAGTATCCTTAATTGGTAGGCACTGCGAGTAATAAAAAATGCATTAATTTTGCAGACTATTTCTTTCTTTCAGATCCGGAGTCCGGTGCGCAAGATGGGCAGAGGCCTTTCGCTCAAGCAGATTCGGCGAGCGCCAACTACGGCACCTCAGGTCAGAATTATATTGCCAACCACATGGATAATTGGAATCGATTGGGAGGGGGGGGGGGGACAGTCAGGAGAGAAAACAAATTAGAGAATGGGAAGGAAAGAGATAGAGACAGATAGACAAAGAGAGAGACATATGCAGATGCATATAAGAGGGATACAGAGAGAGAGAGAGAGAGAGAGAGAGAGGGAGGTGGACAAAGAAAGAGAGAAAGCGAGAGAGGAGGAGCCTAGGTGTTGTGGCGTGCGCCTGTAATCTAGCTAACAGTGGAAGTTACAAACTGATTCAGCCGAGGACGCAGGTTCGAAACTGAGTCACGTCTTTCGGATGGTGACGTTAAAGGTCGGTCCCCAGACTTAAATAATCATATCTGATTGATACACGTCTGTAAAAACCAAATACACACACACACACAGGAGGGGCCGGGGGGGGGGGGGGGCAAAGAAAGAAATTGAGAGACAGAGAGAGAGAAACAGGGTGAGGGCAGAGAAAGAGAGAGAGAAAGAGAGAGAGAGAGATCATTATAAAATGTACTCTAACATGTATATTAAAAAAAAATCCCTTCTTTCTTAACCAAACATGCACTAACAGAGCTAGAATCAGGGGATACCCCCTTTTATGGTAACCACCTTATCTGCACTTTATTCCGTACATTATTGCATGCTTATAAGGTCACTGAAGGTAGTAACTACGTAGATGGTGGTTGGCGGTGATGGCAGCAGTTACACTTCATTGGTGGTGGTTTCATCTTTGAAGAAAAAAAACATTACATGACAGTATTATGAACATATCGTCCTTGTTTTCACGAAGTGACGGTAGTGAGGAAAATCGTAACGCAAAGTGAATGCAATTTTTTTTCACTACCATCACTTCGTGAAAACAGCGACGATATAGTGTAAATTCCCTCAATATTTGCTCATTTCATGATGTTTAAAATATGGTTTTGCTGCAGTAGTCCAAATCAATCATCATGAATCAATTCATCGCTTTGTTGATGGTGGTTTCATCTTTAACAAAAAAAATGTGCATGTAATGAATTAAATTTTTTGATATTATGATGCTTTACATATTTTTGCTGCAGTAGCTATTAAAATGCAGCCCCAGTGAATCAAATCATTATCTACCACTTCCACTGCATATGTATATTTACATGTACGTGTTCATAACATAATCATTACATAATCAGGGGGTGTTTCACAAAGATCCTAAGTTGAACTTGTCTCTAAGTTGGACTTAAAAATCATGGAGAGCCATTAGCATCTATGAAAATATTTTGAAAAAGTTGTTTTAAAAGGCATAAAATGTTGATTCAAATCATTCATATTTTTCAATTATCAAGGAAATTTTATGTTCTTGATGTGGAATTTATAAAAAGTTGAAAATACTTGAATTTTCGCTTTTGAATATATTTTATTTTTAGACAACAAATGGCTCTCCATAACTCTTAACTCCAACTTTAAAAGTTAAGTTTGACTTAAGATCTTTGTGAATCACCCCCCAGATGCATAGTGTATAGTAAACGAAGAATACTTGCATACAAACATTGTACCCTGAATTTCCCCCATACCAAATCAAACAATGGAGAATATTACATTTGGACATGGTAAATTGTCTTCAAAATACATTTCAATTCATCTTCCTGTAGTCTCTCTTCTCATCAACTGATTTGTTTTATTCTGTTCATACTCTTCTTAACCAATATTTGGGAGAAATACTGACGTTGTTATGAAAGATACATGGACGTAACTAAGGTATAATGGGTATTTCTCCTTGCAATTTTTAAGATGACACCAAGCACTCCGCGTCTTCCTTTCTTCTCGTTCTCATTATCTTCCATACAATACACGCTTGATATGTACCTGCTTCTTTGAATTAATGAAATACAATTTTGTAAAAGCATGCTTGCAAATTATAATATTCAAATGAATGCGCCTTCATTAGATATTCAGCAATTGTGTGACTTCTTAGACCCAAGTTCGTCCATCTTTTTGGAAACCGTACCCAATCTTCTCTGTTCATTCAAAGCATACACACTGAAAAATTTACATCTTTAAACTGCGTATATTATTTATACATACATGTATTTCTGTTGCTTCTTATTTTCTTTCTTCTGCGCCCGTTCCTTCTCTCATCTACATACAGGACCAGGTCCCGGTCCAGGACTAGAACCCAATAACAGACTGGACAATGTGGTCAGGAATGGAAGTAGTCCAACCACAGGCAAGGACTAGATTACAATTTGATGTTTTTGTGATAACACCCATCACTATGGGCTGTCCACACTGACCTAAGGGGGTGTTTCACAAAACTTGTCATCACGGACAAATGACACTTTTTGTTATAAGCTACTGAAATCCTTGCTTCTGATTGGTTATCAGCAGATTTGTCACTGATTTTTGTCATTTGTCATTGAAAAAAGGCTTTATGAAACACCCTCCTGGACTACACATTGACCTTTTTGGAAGGGGTCAAGATCAAACCTAATACAGCCTGCATACATGAACCATACATGTAGGCCTAAGTAAAAATGTCCACATTTTAAAGCCCCACTGCACTAGTTTGGCCAGGAGGGATTAGACCTCCCTGCATGGTCACTGACACGTGGTTATCTCATTAAATCAGCTCTCAATTAACATAAGAAAAAGAGGATAATAGGGGACCAATGGTCACGATTAGGCATTGTTTGCTATATAGAGGGCGCAAGTAGCTATAAGTAGTGCAGTGGGGCTTTAACGGTCTGAATTTAGATTGTAAGTGCCAATGTGTCCTGGACCCCTTAAAGTTTCAAGCAACACTGTCATGTAACAACGAAAGGAGCCACAAGCAGAAAGTTAATAGCATATGTTGTGATTTAGGAGGATTGCCAGTGTTTTTATTTGTATTTTCAGTTGAGGCTTGTATGGTACATCCACATGTACACTTTATACAGATACCTTTGTATTGAAATAATTAGCAAGCCCACTCAATGGAAGCCTTTACTTTGTATAAATAATCCATAAAATAGCCTGGATATTGACAGCAGTACAAGCTAACTAATTCACTTAAAAAAAATGTTTTTAACAAAAGGTAAGAAAATACATTTAAAGGTAAAGACCAGTATTGGAAACGCACCAATTTCAAAAAATGAAATGGAAGCTCTTATTACCAATCATGTGAAAGAATATGTTTTGACTAATACATGATGATACAAAATTTGCCGGGAAACCGCCTACTAATTCATATATTTGGTAAATTTGTTTCTCTCATGGTCTGTGAGAGATATAGGGTAGTCCCATATACATCTTTCTGTGTATAGTGCTTGTAACTTTACAAAGAATGGGCCAAATTTCTTATCATTTTGATGATTCCAGAACCTTGCAGATGCTAGATGCTAAATGATCAACCTTTTCTGATCGATTCCACGTTTCTTTCACAATGCAATCTCATGACTATAACTGGTCTTTACCTTTAATATCAACATATTCATATTAAAAATACCACAAAATTGTTATTTTACATTACATGAATTTGCTTCACTCTTTTCATGCACAATGTCATTGCATTAACACATCAAATCATGAAATGAATAAACATGCATAGTCAATGAAAGTCATTCAAAACACGTCAACTAACTGCACGATTAATTTTCTCCAGTTAACATCTCTAACAACACAATACATGAATATTCAAAAGTGAAATTTCCATATTCATAACACTGCCACACTGTAGAGGTATCTTTACAGTCTGTTAATTAATATAATAACATTTTTCCTAACATGATATATGGTAGTAGTACATAACATATACAGTGTGAGTAAATTTTTTTTGGTAGAAGTCGATTTCTGCACTCTCGCAAACAATGCCTCCTGTTCATCCAAGCGTGAACACATTCCACACAAAAATGATACCAAATGATTTGGGAGAAAACACTCTTTCATAAGATGTATAATAATTTACTGTTCATAGATGATTTTTTTAGCAATGAGCAATTTTCTAGGTGTAAACTTTTTGTTGACTCACACTGTATAGTAGCACATAACATATAAGCCAATTTGAAGTTGAATTGTTTACGTCATTTCGTGCTCTAAATACAGGCACACTTGCATCGAGAAACACCTGTCCAAAAAGAACATAGTTTTTTTTATTTCCTGTGAAAGGATGCTTCTCATTATGTTAAAGGAAAGCTGTGTGTAAGGACCACCTGCCCACAAACACTACCTGTCTATAAAGACTTCCTTTTGTGTCTCCCTAAAGGCTTGTTCAAATATAGCGTGGTAAACTGCCGCAAGAAAGCTGCCACATTTATTTATGTTGTATGTGTAAATGAATGGTAGCAACAGAGGACTTGTGCGTATTCACTGAGCTCTATCTTATAACATACAGCAAAATAAATCGTACACTGAAACCTGTCTATAAAGACCACTCAAGGGAGACAAGAAAAGTGGGCTTTATACCGTAGGCAGGTGGTTGTTATGTAGGCCTACAGGTCCCTTTAGTACATGTTTCAATGAGAAACCATTGTAGACAGGTGGTCTTTGTAGACAGGTGGTCGCTAACGCAGGTTTGACTGTATTTTACACTTTATTTCTGAAGATGAACCACATCAGTCTTGCCGCATCATATCTGAACGAGCCTTTAAAGCTTATCAACACTAGTGTGGCTAGGAGGGATTAGACCACACAGCGAGGTCACTGACAGGTGGCTATCTCATCAACTCAGCTCTCAAATAATATAAGAAAAAGAGGATCACGGGGGACCAATGGTCACCGATTAGGCATTGTTTGTTATATAGAGGGCGCAAGTGTTTACAAGTAGTGCAGTGGGCCTTTAAGAGATGTTTCTGAACAAGTTTCACTGTATTTTTTTATTTTTCAAGATCTAATTAATTTATTTATGGATTATTACTTTAGAGAGACACACAAGCTCTAAATAATTTTATAATTATGGATTATTACTTTTTAGAGAGACGCTCAAGCCCTGCAAGGAGAAAGCCGGACTTGGAAGGCCAACTCATCGTGAGCAGCGACGACGAGACCGACATCGACATGCTTGACGACATCGAATCAACCAAAGAGGTTTATAGAACAAAGGTACGGTAACTAATATAGGAAAATGGTGTAAACAGAGATGCCAACTGTTCCGATTTTTTGCTATGAATACGGCAGTACGTTTTTTAATGTTTTGTTACATTTTTTTAATTACCATAGTATTCTATACACTTTACTTGACATGCATGCAGTTTCCAAATATCCCTGGCTTTAAAGGGTTAATGCCAAGTAAACTGACTTTTTTTTTCTTCAAGAAAACGGTCTCTTCTCGGAACAGTCTTTTGAAAAGTTCTTGACGTTCTGTATGTACACATGTAGTAGTTTCGATATACAGCCAGATGCCAACCAGTACGATTTAATAAGAGTAAAATACGATAATATGATATCGCCTCTTGAAACACAATTTTTCATCTTTCAAAAAAAAAAAAAAAAAAAAAAAAACCCGTAACATAGAAACATGTACAAGTAAACCCTGCAAACCCAACAAAATCTTTGCTTTACAATTTTCTCATGAAATGTTAATGAAAGAGTAAACATTTAACTTGGTCAAAGTTCTTACCAAAAAAACCTTTCTCTGAAATTTTACTTGCCACTGGTGGTGTCAAGTTTTTGTGAAAATCTGATTCTTCTCTCCAAAATCTGATTTTTTAAGGATATTCAGTCTGTTATTTTTTTTGTGTCAAGAGGTTGGCATCTCTGGTTATAACAAATACCTCGTTTGATTTCAGAACTCTTTATAATGAGATGTGCTTTGTATTTATCAACTTTGTTACAGACTGAGATTTATGTGAGTGACCTAGCGCGGAAGAAATCAAACACCTTGGAAAAGAAGTACAACATGTACGCCTGGAATCTTATCACGGTGTCCATATTCTACGCTCTTCCGGTCGTTCAGCTTGTTATAACGTACCAAGTGGTAAGATTTTCAGTTTGTTCAGGCCCCCGATGGATCGTGAGTGGATCAGAGGAGGGGGGGGGGGGGGGGGGGGGGGGGGGGGAGGGGGGGGGGATGTGGAAAGTTTGGGAATGGCTTTCCAATTAGGGCTTAGGTGAAGGTTGATGTAGTTTCCAAGGTCATACACTTACTTTTTGTGTTAGACTTTACATGCATAATGTTTAATATTTCTAAAACTGCTTTTTACACACCAAATTCCATTCTGTACCTGAATGAATACACAGAAATAGAGTGATCATGGAATCATTTCTGCAATTTATCTGTATGACTTATTTCATTTTTCGTTTATTGTAGCAGAATACATACTTCTCCTCTTTAGCCAGGAGTACATCTGTCTTTATGAATTTAGAGATGTGTATATGATGATATGATTGCAGGGCCCTTAGGGAGCTTGGGGCCAATTTGTCCAATGGGGCCAATCCGGACCAATTGAAACCAATTGGGGACCCATTAAAGTCTAATGGGGCCTAGGCCAATGGGGCCAATGGGGCCAATTTGTCCAATGGGGCCAATCTGGACCAATTGAAAACATCTGAGGTCCCATTGAAACCTGTTAAAACCTATTGAGACCTATTGAGACCAATTGAAACCAATTGAAACCAATTGAAACCAATTGAAATTTCAATTGGTGTTCAATTGGTTTCAATTGGATTTTCGTCTTGGGAGATCATAATTAATACTGATGAGGCTTTCCTGGGTAAACAAGACATATCATTATTATTATTATTATTATTGTTATTATTATTATGTTGATTAGGTCATTTGTGTCTTATTTTGATTCTATCTGCAGGTTACAAATGTCACTGGAAACCAAGACTCGTGCTATTATAACTTCCTCTGTGCAAAGCCTTATGGATGGTTCAGGTAATATCCTCTGCTTTTACCTCTTTACTTCAAAATGGAAATATGTTACCCTATAATTCTCTCTCATATACGTTTTCTGTGGCAAATTTTGGCTTCTACAATTATTAGTTAGTCTTACTCTTTTGGGTCATGTTTGAAATCGAAAATTTGAATTGAAAGTTCTAGCATGCAAAACTTAAAGTTAAAGGTTAGTTCTGGTCATCCGATTGCATTGTGAAAGAAAAGGTGTGGAATGGATCAGAAAAAGTTGATAACGTAGCATGTAAGTATCGGCGTATACTGCAAAGTTCTGGAGTCATCAAAATCGTAATAAATTTGGCCCAGTATTGGTAAAGTAACAAGCACTGTACACAGAAAGATGTATATGGGACTACACAAATGGTGTCGGGGGCTACTAACCTTGATTTCCTAATCTTTCTATGCTCATTACTCAGCTAGTATAAATTTTCTACCAAAATGACATTTATTTGTAATCTTGAACATTCAGTGTAAGTTTCGTTTGATTCTGTGAAAATTCATTTCCTTTTTTGAAAAACCAGAACTCACCTTTATCTTTAAATTTGTTTTATTTCCCTTTGATTGCAGTGCCTTTAACAATGTGTTCAGTAATACTGGCTATGTCATGCTTGGCATTCTCTTCCTGATGCTGGTGTGGAGGAAAGAATACGCTCACAAGGCACGAGTCAAGGCTGGCTACAAGAATGAACTGGTATTTATTTTTCTTCATCGTCTTTATCATTAATCATTCAACTGCCTTTGTCAATTATTACTATCATCATCACCATCACCACTGTCATCTTTATAACCATCATCATTATCACCATCATTAGGGACTTTTAAATTTGCACGTTGACATAGTGGACTGCTACGTGTGACGTCCTTAAGACGTCACATTGCCTTAAAAGGACGTCACACGTAGCAGTCCTCTATGTCGACGTGCAAATGTAAAAGTCCCTATTACTATCATTATCATCTTCATCACCATTAATCTTCCTCCTCATCGTCATCATCAACATCATCATCATCATCACCATCATCATCATCGTCATCATCAACATCATCATCATCATCATCATCATCATCATCATCTTTACTGTCATCACCATCATCATCATCATCATCATCTTTACTGTCATCACCATCATCACCATCATCATCATCATCATCATCATCATCATCACCATCATCATCATCATCATCATCATCATCATCTTTACTGTCATCACCATCATCATCATCATCATCATCATCATCATCATCTTTACTGTCATCACCATCATCATCATCATCATCATCATCATCATCATCTTTACTGTCATCACCATCATCATCATCATCATCATCATCTTTACTGTCATCACCATCATCACCATCATCATCATCATCATCATCATCATCATCATCATCATCATCATCATCACCATCATCATCATCATCATCATCATCATCTTTACTGTCATCACCATCATCATCATCATCATCATCATCATCATCATCTTTACTGTCATCACCATCATCACCATCATCATCATCATCTTTACTGTCATCACCATCATCATCATCATCATCATCACCATCATCATCTTCACTGTCATCACCATCACCATCTTCACTGTCATCACCATCAGCAGAATAAAATAAGAAAAAAAGTAGATGAACAGTTGACCTACATGTAAACATGTATATTGAATTAGGGTATATGTAATGATATTGCTCTTTTCATGACTCCTTCAGCATTCTTATTGTTCTTATTCAAATCTGAATGTTCTTTTCTGTGCCTTGAGCATCTCGACAATTGAATTGATGCTTTATGTTTAAAATACACAGTTTCTATATATTTCCATGAATTAAAAATAATAATTTATAACTGCATTTTTTTCCATTCAGACCCATGGTATCCCTAAACACTATGGTCTCCTCTATACCTTGGGCTATGCTCTCATCATGGAAGGTGTCATGAGCGGCTCCTACCATGTCTGTCCAAACAGGGCCAACTACCAGTTTGGTAAGTACATGAAAATGGTGGTATTTGTTAGGGTAATGAAAGGGTAGCCCATCCATGATACATCTACAATGAATGTACACGTACAGTGAAACCTGTCTATAAAGGCCACCCAAGGGAGACAAGAACAGTCGTTTCTGTAGGCAGGTGGTCTTTAAGTACAGGCTTCTTTAATACATGTTTCATTGAGAAACCATTTTCAAGGGAGACAAGAAATGTGGTCTTTGTAGACAGGTGGCCTTTGTAGACAGGTGGTCACTATTAAAAGCAGGTTTGACTGTATATGTATGTGTACAGTGCTCACAGCGAGTTTATGAGACCCGTTGCATATAATTTGATTTTGCGATGAGATGCATTTCCTTAAAGTAGATATTCATTGATTTTAAAAACTAACTTTATTTTCATTATTGCAAAGTTTGATTCGACAAGGTTATCATTATTCAATGCTTGGAAACATTGGAAGTAAGGATTATCATAAATTACAAAACGCTTAAATAAAGCCCTGGCGTAGCACCGGAAGAGCTCTCCAAATGCTGCTGAGATGTGTGAGATCACAGTATGGACATAATTTGCACAAGCAGACGATGTCCCATGACATCTCACACATTTTCAGTGCCTGTATTTTCATCTTTTCTTGAGTTCTTTCTCTTACTTCACTACCGTCAGGCTAAATGTATAATCTATTGCCTCACCCTAAACCCAGCGCATGTTTTTATTTTGCTGACAAATGCAGCGATACAAAAATAAAGGAATCTGTCGCTTGTAAACAAAATAAGACGCCATTGTATTTTCAGGTGCACACACCGCGGTATGTTCGGCGTTTCAAGAGGGAACAAATGCCGTCCTTAATGTCTTTCCGGGGGGTTTTCAATTTGAAAGTCTGGTTTCTTTGATTGTTAATTAACCCCTATCCTGTGTATTTACAAGCAAAAGATTTTAGTTATTAGAATCGGGTCATATCCCCTTTTGAATGGTTTGACATTCCATTATATTTATATACACTAAACTCATTATAATTTGAGGAATAATAGCTTTGCAAGTATGTTCATTCTCTATGGGATGTCGTCTGCTTGGGCAGTGTTGGTCCATATAGTGACGTCATTAAAACATCGTTATTTTTTTCAGGCGATTTTCTCGTATATCCCAGCTCCTATGGAGGTGGTTGTATTTGTATTTTTATAAATCACCCGATATGTAGTTGACCTAAAACTTGTACGATGGCCATCTGTTAGCTTAACAGTTTCTAGTAATACATTAGTTGACATATTTGTGATTTTCTTTGAATTTCACCTTTAAACTCTAGCCCAAGTGTTCCCAGGCTTAGAATAAAAGGGCCGGGGAACATGTATGTTTGTAATGATAATCATGGATATCTCACTTGCCGTAAGCTCATGACTTTATAGCTCTACAGCCCGATACATCAAGCAAAATTAGATATCAATGAAAATTAGACAAAATTACTTTCGGGCCTAAATGGTCATTAGACGAGATGATAAGTAGGTGAAATGATTATTATACCATGTGGATAGTAGACGGGCTGGGTGTAGACCATATGGGAATAGACTAATTGGGTAGTAGACGAACTGGTACATGTAGTAGACCAAACGGCAATATACCGAGCAATGGTCTTGACTTGAAGCTGGGAGGTCCTGGTTTTGAAACCAAGTCAATGCACTTGCTTATCACTAAGTTTCTCAAAAAGTTCTAAAAGCCTTCATTTGTGTCCCCTAGATTGTCCCCTAGATCGCTCTGTTTAGAGCGCTCAGTCCTCTAAACATAATTGCTGTTTCTGAGATTCGCATTGCACGCAATTCAGCCCGTTCAAAACATGCATAAGAAGTCATGCTTATATTTTCGCAAGTTCGAAAATTTGCGCTTGCTGATCTTGATATCCGCGAAAAATTAATTTTTCACAAATATTTCTACATTTACAGTAATATAAAGTGTGAATCTATCTTTCAAGTCTCACTCCTCATTCGTCTCCTTGTTTAATTGGTTGCCATAGATACCTCTTACATGTACATGATAGCCTGTCTGGGGATGTTGAAGATGTACCAGCAGCGACATCCGGATATCAACGCAAACTCTTACAAATCATTCGCCTTGTTTGCTCTCATACTCTTCATTGGATTCCTGGGGCTGGTAAGTTTGTTTTGATAATAATAATGTTTGGTTATTGTATAGCGCATATCACATTATAACGTCTCGATGCGCTTCCAAATAGTTTTGGAAATGTTAAGGTGTGTTGATGCTGGTGTTGATGGTGGTGAGGGCGATAAGGAGAAGAGTGATCATGATGACGATGAGGAGGAGGAGGAGGCAGAGGGACAGAATGGTGTTAAAGATAAAAGATGATGAAAATAATGATGATGCTGATGATGGAGATGATAATGATGGAGATGATAATGATGGTGATGGTGATGATGATGATGATGGTAATGATGGTAATGATGATGATGATGATGATGATGATGATGATGATGATGAAGATGAAGATGGTGATGATGATGATGATGATGATGATGATGAGGATGATGATGATGATGATGATGATGATGATGATGATGAAGGTGATGATGATGATGATGATGATGATGAGGATGATGATGATGATGATGATGACGTTGATGATGATGATGATGATGATGATGAAGGTGATGATGATGATGATGATGATGATGATGAAGGTGATAAGGAGAAGAGTGATCATGATGATGAGAAGGAAGAGGAGGAGGAGGAGGAAGAGGATGGCGAGGATGGCTATGAAGATAAAGATGATGAAAATATCATTGATGCTGATTATCACGATGATGACGGTGATGGTAATGATGGTGATGAGGTGGAGGATGATGATGAAGATTAGGATGAAGATGGTGATGATGATGAGGATGATCGTGATGATCATGATTACAACATATATGGTGGTGATTCATAAATTGTATGGTCTCACCAAATTGCATTAAAGATCGTCTTTATTGGAAATTCAACAGCGCCATCAGCAGTTCAGTTTAGTCTCAGGCTCTCATTAAACGGAAGGGTAACCCCCTTCCCACTCTCATCTTTCAAGCAGGGAAGTCGAACATAAATCTCATTGCCGCTAATGTGATAGTTCCTACCAGCAAACCAACCCACCGTGCTGTACCCCTTACGCCCTAACGAGGGAGCCGTAATGAAAATTACGTACAATTATGCTGCATGACCATGATAATGATAGGCTCCTGTTTTTAGTTTTTGTTTATGCCTGCAGAACGTTGCGTGCAAGCGAAAGCCTGTTTGTGTAAACACATGCAAAATACCAAACGGTTGAGTCATGCAGGAAGGATGTATTTTTTATGTTAAAGAGACGGTAAAAGTGTAGGAATTATCTGTTAAAAAAAATAAATGCAAAACATGAGTCATATAAGAAATCTAAAAATAAGCGTATTTGTCTGAAATATGGAGATTTCAGATTCAATAGCTGTGAGGTGTAGTACCCATCTGCCTAAACAGAATTACATGTTCAATGGTGTTTGCACTTTTTATTTGTTTGTACAGCAAACTTTAATGATTCCTAGTGAAAACATCACTGCATGTTTATTTCATTTTATAACTGATGCTTGTTTTCTCCCTCCCTTTTTCATTTGCAAACTCATCTTTGTTTTGAAATACACATCCGTTCCTGCTTGTCCTGGAAGAGCAAAGGAGAGAGAAAGAGAGAAAGAGAGAAAGAGAGAGAGAGAGAGAGAGAGAGAGAGAGAGTGAGTGTGGGAGACAGAGAGAGAGAGAGAGAGAGAGGGGGAGAGAGAAAAAGAGAGGCAGAGAGAGAGAGAGAGAGAGAAGGGAGGGAGAGAGCCAGAAAGAGAAACCAGTGAATAGTTTGGTTCCAACTAAATGATTCAATTTAATCCCAGATTTGCACTCTCAACTATGTATGCATGCTATGAAACAATTATTGTTCTGTAATTACATTTCTTGTTTTGTTGAAGAACTCTAATTGAACTGAATACGTGCCAGAGTTTTGGAGTACAGTGTATTTCAATTAAGAAGCAATGATTATTTCAACGATTCATATCTTATCTTTAGGTGTCAGGTACTTGTAGATCTGTTACTCTACTAATTTCTTCAACAAATATCTTCAAGGATTGAAAATCAGTGGGGTTTCCTTTGAAATATTTGTCCAATAGTATTCAACAAAGGCCCTAATTCAACCAGTCCACCTTTCGTTCATGAGTTACGAAAAACACAAATAAAATGGGTATGAATGATTTAGTTGTTTTACTGTATGGGACCTGCTAGCTCGACTACCTGTAAATTCTATCCCGTTTCAATGTACCCCGTCCCTCGACTCAAACGACTCACTATAATTATGTATTCATCAACACCTCTGCACTCGTTTCCTCAAGATGGCACTACAGACCTTAATGCGCTACTTATCTAACAGACCCAGAAACGGAGAGGCGCTTTACGACTTACCAATTATATCATTACCATTACCTGTTGGCATGCACATGTACCTGGTATGTGAGGTGCCTTCTAGGACTAGGGCTTTAGGAAAATGCTGCACCTGTAGTACATACCGGTAGACAGAATGTAATGTACAATCAGAGAATCTTTTTTTATACTATTTTTGCCTTTTCAGGGTAATTTGAGTAAATTCTTTTAGAGATGAGCCCATAGACAAATCCTGGATCTGTATTAGTACCTGTCTACAGACATACTTTTATCTTTTGTATTTGGTTAAGTTGTGTGAGAATCTATAATCCATCATTACCTGAACTTCTGGGTGTGTTTCACGAAACAGTCATAAGAACAAGTTCAGCAACATCCCATTAAACATGTATGTTGAAATTAGCATGTATTTTGATTGGATGTTGGTGAACTTGTAGTTAATCCCGGTTTCGTGCAACAATGCCCAGATTCATTTTAACTCCTATTCCATACACATTATTTTCACAACTTAGGAAATTAGAAAAACCGCATACATTCATCCGTAAATGTTTAAAGATGAAAAGATGAAAAGATAAATATGTACAAGTACATGTATAGTGAAACCTGTATATAAAGACTGTTCAAGGGAAACATAAACAGTATTCTGTATAGGCAGGTGGTCTTGATGTACAGTTTCCTTTACTACAGATTTCATTGAGAAACAAAATTCAAGGGAAACCACAAAATGTGGTATTTACAGACAGGTGGTCTTTCTATACAGGTGGTCGCTAATACAGATTTGACTGTACAAGAAAAAGTGCAATGAATTAATTATCAGACTTAACACATTCACACCGTTCGTCACTGTGCCAAGGGATTCAGGTATGAACAGGGTTTGCACTTGAACTTGTGTATACAGGATTTACATGTATTAAATGTAGTGTGAAAAGAGTTCAAGACATTTTATCAGGGAACATTGTGCTTACTTTTAATGTCAACAGGATGTTTAACTTTGTGCAGGATTTCAGGGGATCGCAAAAGATGTACCCAAAATAAAGATACGCTAATAAAGACCACTTTCACTTCATCAATGTTATTTTTAAACACCCCATTAACTTGTCATTAGCAATTTACTATAAACAGACAGTGAAAACAAATTTTCAAATACCAGTTTATCTCCTTGCTCAATTCGCTGATTCAAAACATGTCATCTTGTTAATTGAGATGATGAAAAAACAGAAATGAAAAATAGATGATGTCATTGTACATGTAACAGCCTTGACAGAAATGATGTTCTTACAAAATTTGTTTCCATAAGTTTTTTAAAATTTAATGACTATATAGTTACTGTAGGAAGGAAATTTGGGATTAGACCACCCAGCGAGCCAGCGAGGTCACTGTGACAGGTGGCTATCTCATTAACTCAGCTCTCATTTAACATAAGAAAAAGAGGATCATGGGGGACCAACAGGCACCGATTGGGGAAGTTTTCTATATAGAGGGAGCAAGTAGCTACATGTAGGACAGTGTGCCTTTAAGGTTCTAGATATGTTGGAAGTTTTTGTCCATGATTTCTTTTGAATTTTATTGTAATGTGTAGAAAGATTGCTGTGTAGTGTTCCTAATTTGGACCGTACACAATAAGATGTTTACCATTTGAAGTCAGGAAATCACCATCTGTAAAAAGTTTTGAATCAAAACCGAAAGCACATCTTTTCAATTAACTGTCAATCTAAGAATATCAGAAGCTCTTGTAGCACAATAGAATATATACTTAAAGCTCTATAGATCTATTATCATTATTATTATTATTATTATTTAGTTTTTAATTAAAGTAAAATGCTTAGATGTGCTCTGAACACGAGCAAAATATTGACTTTGTTGGCGTGGTGAATTGAAAATAGCCCCTGTTCTTTATTAATAGTCTGACCTATGATATCACAAGGGGCTAAATAAAACATGGACTTTTTCTGGCCCCAATCATGGCGGTCTAGCCCCTAAGGCTGAGACAATTGCGTGCTCATCTGAGATTATTCACATGGTTTGTGAAAGAGTTTTGAGCCTGATTGAGTTTGACGTCTCGTAATCTTTCAGCCGAAACATACACATTAGGTTATAGAGGTGTAGAAATATAGACAAAAATGTAGTTCCAGATGATCTTATACCATAGGCCTGTCTTCATCAGCTCGAGTTTGTCAAATAACCTGCTATTTGATATCAGTAGCTTATAACAGATATTGTAACTTGTTTAATACTGATAACAAGTTGTATGAAACAGAGCCCAGATTGGAGCCAGAATAGCTTTTAACTCATAAAGTTTAACCCGATCCAGTGCAGCTGAGAAACTAACACACCCTCGCCATTAAAACAGAGACAGTCATTTAATTCTTTTGGGGATTGTGCGATTAGTGGAGACTTTGCACGCTGTGTAACAAAGGGAGGGGGAAAATGATGATTGAAGAAAAAATAATTATGTAAAAAACATAGAATCTGGTTTAAGTTTAACACAGACTTAATGCCTTTTTGCAACAATAATGTCTTAGATAATATGCAGAAATCTAATAAAAAAAAGTGAAAATCTTATCAGAAAGCTAAATGTAGTGTTTATAATAAGTTTCTGATGGCACAATTAAATATTAAAGGTAATACAAAGTTTTGGTATGGGGTCATAAATTTGGTTCAAATGAACAATATACTGTGATCGTTGTCGCGGTTGAAATCAAGTCTAAAGTTATGAAATTGTAAATAATAAAGTCTTAATATGTTGTATAGCTCCCTCTCAAGGTCAAGATATTAAGTAAGCTATGAAGCAATGTT